CCAGACTTCTGTCATCAGTTCATGTTCGCCCTTTCCACCTGTCAGTTCTCCATTTTCAAACTTCCCCATGTATTTCTAGAAAGATCCACATAGTCCTCACCTGCCCTCTACAGGGAGAAGGGAACATCATGGACAGAGAACAGGGAACATAGTCTTGTTCCAAAGCTATCAGAGCTTGCGTGTCCCCTTCACTCCTTGTACATCATTCCTTGGACTCTGCTCTATCTTTAGAGGTCATTGGCTCAAGTCAGTCACTATGAGACAGCTGGGAAAGTGACACAACTTGTAGCTCCACTCCCTGATGACTGAACTGACCTCCAGGCTTGACTCTGGTCTCCCCTGTGTTATTTCTGCTGAAGTACTCAGTCCCAGGCCAGGCTTGCCAGTACCCAAAGGGTTTAAGGACATTGGGAAGTTCCATCATCCATCTCTAGGATATCCTTGGAAGGGGAAGCTGAAGAGAAAACATACCCTAGGGGGCAAAGTAAGACTGAAACTAAAAAGATTCCAGCACTACATGCTCCAGGTGAGGACCACAGGGTGGGCCAGGCAGGCAGTTGGAGAGGGAGAGACTCAGAGAGGCACCAGGGGCTGTGACTGCTGGTCCAATATTTTTCCATGACCCAATGCTGCCGCTCAATTCACATTTGGGAAAGTCTGTGCTTCTCCCACATACGGAAGGCAGCCTCACAATCTCTGAGCCCTCAGATTGCCATGCATCTGTCTTGTAACACATACACCTGCCATGGACTTTTAGGGACATGGGTGTGCTGAGAGGTAGGAAATGCCAACTCTGATTGAAAAATGTCTTAGGAGGAATCAAACGTGCCGCACAGTGCAATCTTCTCTCTGTTATCTCCACAGTGGAGACTCCCAAGCCCTCCATCTCCAGCAGTAATTTAAACCCCAAGGAGGCCACGGAGACTGTGGTCTTATCCTGTGATCCTGACACTCCGAACGCAAGCTACCTGTGGTGGATAAATGGTCAGAGCGTCCCTATTAGTCCCAGGTTGCAGCTGTCTGAAAACAAGAGGACCCTCATTCTATTTGGTGTCACAAAGCGTACTGCAGGACCCTATGAATGTGAAATGAAGAGCCCAGTGAGTTCCAGCCGCAGCGACCCAGTCACCCTGAATCCCGTCTGTGAGTATCTTCTGTTCCTCTGTGAGCCAGGCTGCCATCTCAAATACATATGGCCAGAGGCCAGGCCTCCCAGTCCCTCTCAGGGGCAAGTACAAAGACCTTTACCCATGGACATCAAAGCTGGCCATGACTACAAAGAGTAGGCTTCAGCTTGATCAACAATGGGAGAGAAGAGGCTGCTCCTGTCACAGGAGACTCAGGGTCCACAACTTATGATGGGAGAAACAGGTGAATATCTCAGGCTCCAGAACAGTGAACACAGCAAGGATTTGGCTGGGATTTCAGTGTTGTGACTAGGCTCACAGGGTCACTGTGGCCTTTCCACAGACCAGGATTTTCCCTTCCCTCTGACAACATCAGCTGTGACTTTATTCTCTTTGCTCCAGATGGCCTAGATACCCCCACCATTTCTTCTTCATACACCTATTACCGTCCAAGGGAAGTCCCCAAGCTATCCTGCCTCACAGGCTCTCACCCACTGCCAGAGCTTTCTTGGCTGATTGATGGGAAATTCCAGTAATCCAGATAAAGGACAAAGTGTTCTTTATCCCCCAAATCACTAAAACATATGGAGGGGTCTATGTCTGTTTCATGCATAACTCAGTCACTGGTGGAACAAATCTCATAATCCAGAGGATCATAGTCCCTGGTAAGTGGGCCCCTGGAGCATTGCCAATACGTTTTCCAGTGAAGTCTCTCTGGCTATCAGGGAAGAGCCACCTGCCCTCTGCAAAGGGAGAGGGAAAATCAAAAACCCAGGACAGGGAATATGTTTCTGCTCCAAAACCATCAGCTTTTGCCTGTCGCCTTCACTCCTTCTACATCATTCTTTAGACTATACAGTAACAATGAACAATCTGAAAGGAAATTAAGAATTTCCAATCACATTAACATCAAAAGGAATAAAATATTTTGGAATAAGTTTAACCAAAAAGGTCTAAGGGTTATATCATGAAAACTACAAAACATTACTGAAAGAAATTAAAGACGACATCATTATATGGAAAGACAATTCACTTTCACGGATTGGAAGAATCAATATTGTTAGGAAGACAATATTACTCAAAGTGAGCTGTAGATTCAACACAAGTCCTACCAGAATCCCAGTAACATTTTTTGCAGAATTACAAAAATCTGTCCTAAATCTGACCTGACAGGCTCTTAATTGATGTCTGCTACAACAGAGACACTGAGGAAAAGATGCAACCATGAAAAGGTGGAAAGTGTTGATGACATAGAAAATAGCAATCATTATTTCTCACATCCCAAAACCTTCAAAAGTATACAAGTGCAGCATGGCCAGTGTGGAATTGACCAAAAACTAATCACCAAGCTAGAAACATGGTGAGAGAGAGAAAAAGGACAAGAACGTATTTGGCCTGTCACCTCCCGTTTTTGCGTACTAATCTGATGCTGAAAAGAAATGCTTACTGGAGCATTATAGATTTTGAACCTTTCAGATTTGGGATGTGAAACCAGTAAGTATGTGACAAATATTTCAGAATCAAAAAATGTCAGAAATCCAAAACACTTTTTGTCCTAAGTCTTATGCATAAGAAATGCTCAATCTGTGTGAACCATAGGCATCAAGCTGTATATAATATCTTGCATAATTGATACTGCACACCCATGACCAACTTCTGATTCTTCCCACTCCCAGCTCCTGGCAACCAGCAGTCTCTTCTCAGATTCACTCTGGAATCCACTTCCATGAGGTCCCTAGGGTAGTCAAACCCATGGAATCGGAGAGTAGAGAGTACAATAAAAGAAAATATTTCCAAAACTTCTCCCAAAATTTGTCTCATTTCCATCAAACACACATGGCCCAATGAGGACCAGATTTCTAGCAGTTCATTCCCACCCTTTCCACCAGTCAGTTCTGCATTTGCAAATGTCCACATGTATTTATGGAAGGATCCACATAGTCCTCACCTGCCCTCTGCAGAAGGAGAGGAAACTTAAAGATCCCAGAACATGGAATATGGTTCTGCTCCAAAGCCACCAGCTCTTGCCTGTCCCCTTCACTCTTTCTAGATCATTCCTTGCACTCTGCTCTGTCTTTGGAGGTCACTGGTTCAAGTAAGTCATCATGAAACACCTGCAGAAAACGGCCCCACGTTGCGCCTCCACTGCCTGATGACTGAACTGACCTCCAGGCTTAACTCTGGTCTCCCCTGTCTTATTTCTGCTGAAACATGCAGTCCCAGGCCAGGCTGCTCAGTATCTTCAGGGTTTCAGGACAATGGGAAGTCCCATTGTTACTCATCTCTAGACTGTCCTTGGAAATGGAAGATGCAGAGAAATCACATCTAGGGGGACAAAGTAGGATGGAATTTGGAAGGGGCCCAGCAGTTGCACATTCCAGGTAAGGAATCCAAGGTGACCCAGCCAGTCAGTACCAGGGGCTGTGACTGCCACTGACGTGTCTGTTCATGACCCAACACTGCTGCTCAATTCACACTTGAGAAAGTCTGTGCTTCCCTAAGACAGAACAGGTGGCCTCACAGTCTTTCAGCCCTTAGATCACCATGCATCTGTCTTGTGACACACGCACCAGTTATTGGCTTTCAAGGACTCAGGTGGGCTGAAAGGTGGGAGATGCCAACTCTGATTGAAGGATGCCTGTGGGGGAATCAAAGGTGCCACATGGGACAAACTTCTCTCTGTTATCCACACAGCGGAGCTGCCCAAACCCTACATCACCAGCAACAACTTCAACCCTATGGAGAATGAGAATGTTGTAGCCTTAACCTGTGAACCTAAGACTCAGGGCTACACCTACTTGTGGAGGGTAAATGGTCAGAGCCTCCCGGTCAGTCCCAGGCTAAAGCAACCTGGTAAAAACAAGATCCTCATTGTACCCAATATCACAAGGAATGACACAGGACCCTATGAATGTGAAATATGGGACCGAGTTGGTAGCATCCCCGGTGACCCAATCACCCTGGATGTCCTTTGTATCTTTGGTTCCTCTGTGGGCCAGGCCACCAGCTAAAATCCAAACGACCAGAGGCCACGCATCTCAGTCTCTCTCAGGTCCAACTACAGACACTTTTATTTCTGGACACCAGGGCTGGTAATGACTCCCTGCCCTGGGAAAACCTGAGTAGGCACAGCCTTAACCAAGAATATAAAGGGAGAAATTCTCTTGTCATGGGAGACTTGGGTTCTACAGGCTGTGATGGGAGAAACAGGTGAATACCTCAGGCCTCAGCTCAGTGAACACAGAAGGGGTTTGGCTGGGTCTTGAGGGTGTGTCTTGACTCAGAGGGACACTGTGTCCCTTTAAGAGACCAGGAGCATCCCCTTCCCTCAGACGACATCACCTGTGGTTTTATTCTCTTTTCTCTAGATGGTCCACACGTCCCCAGCATTTTGTCTCCATTCACCTATTACCATACAGGAGAAAACCTCTACTTGACCTGCTTCGCGGACTCTAACCCACCAGCAGAGTATTCTTGGACGATTAATGGGAAGTTTGTGCAATCAGGACAACAGCTCTCAATCCCCAAAGTTACTGAAAAGCATAGCGGGCTCTATGGTTGCTCTGCTCGTAACTCAGTCACTGACAGCGAACGTTCCACATTCAAGAGGATCAAAGTCTCTGGTAAGTGGATCCTTGCATCATTGGCAATAGGGTTTTAGGTGGAATCTATCAGGATTTCAGAGAAGAGTCAGGAAAACATTTTTATTCCCAGCCTGTGTCCCATGGGCAGAAGAAAATCCTAAATTCT